CGAAAAGGGACTTACCTGGCTGGGCAGTGAGCTCAGAGAATCGATCAAACAGATAAACCAACTGCTCCCTTGACAGCATCCCTGAGCTTTGCAATTGCAGACCAGCCATCAATGCGATGCAGAAAAAGTAGCTTCCTTTCTGTTAAAATCCTTCATTTCAGACACAAATTGAAAGTACCCAAAAAAAAAAAACATAGGGTTCGATTCCATGCATTGAAGCTTCAAGGCTCAGCCGACGAAAACCCAGCAAAGCCAAGAAATTAAAATCACCTCAATTTATTATCCACAGCCGCGAACGTGTAGAATCAGAGCTTCAACAGAAACGGGGCAACCCAAGAAAAGGAGAGACGAAAAGGAAAAGAACCAAAGGAGAAAAAAGATCTCGTGATGGAATGATTCGCGATGGAGAATAGCCGAAGGATATTTCGGTCATTTCAATTCCTCCATTCCGCAGAAATCACAGTGCAAATGTAAAGCCAGAACCACCTAAAGAAGCCATATCCATGGGAACCCAGAGAGTAAATTATGAAATCTATTATAATTAATGACTCAATTTTATACGAAACAACTTTCCAAACCATAAACAAAACACTACTCGCAAAAGAACTGTAAGCTAAGAAGTAAGAACACCTATTAAGAGAATAACATCGCATCAAATGTTACACAAGAACAGGAAATGGCAAAAGGTCTTTTAGAAGTCTTCATCCATCTTAAACTCATGGCTTCCACCATTGCCACCATTAAGGCTATTCATAACAGAAGCCTTCTGGTACTCCCCAACCCTCTTCTCAAAGAAATTCGTCTTGCCCTGCAACGAAATCAGCTCCATCCAATCAAAAGGATTCGTCACATTGTAAATCTTCCCACAGCCAAGGCAGTCCAGCAACCTATCAGCAACGAACTCAATATACTGGCTCATCAACGCCCCATTCATCCCTACCAGCGCGCACGGTAGAGCATCACAAACAAACTCCCTCTCGATATCCACCGCATCTCTAACAATCCCCTTCACCCGCTCCTCGCTGGGCTTCGCCTTCATCAACCCATACAGCAAGCAGGCAAAATCACAATGAAGTCCTTCATCTCGTGAGATCAGCTCGTTGGAGAACGTCAATCCAGGCATCAGCCCACGCTTCTTCAGCCAAAATATCGCGCAGAAGCTACCGGAGAAGAAAATCCCTTCCACACAGGCAAACGCAATCAGCCTCTCGGCGAACGACTCCCCGCCGTCGATCCACTTCAAGGCCCACTGGGCCTTCTTGGCCACACAGGGCACCGTCTCGATGGCGCGGAAGAGTCGGCTCTTCTCGTCGGAGTCCTTGATGTAGGTCTCGAGAAGGAGGCTGTACATCTCGGAGTGGATGTTCTCGATCGCGATCTGGAAGCCGTAGAAGGCTCTTGCCTCGGCGACTTGCACTTCCTTCATGAACCGGCCGGCGAGATTCTCGAGGACGATTCCGTCGGAGGCGGCGAAGAAGGCGAGGACGTGGGTGATGAAGTGGCGCTCGTCGGGGGACAGGGATTCCCAGTGGCGAGTGTCCTGAGAGAGGTCGACTTCTTCGGCGGTCCAGAAGGAGGCTTCGGCCTTCTTGTACATCTCCCAGATCTGTGGGTACTCGATCGGGAACATACAGAAGCGGTCTGGGTTTGGCGCCAGGAGAGGCTCTTCTGGGAAGGACGGCATCTTTGGGAGAATTTTTTAGGGTTTTGGAGAAGGGGAAGAAGGGGGAATTCGATATTTGATTGTTGGATTTGGGATTTTTGGTTGTAGAGAGTGGAGGGAGGGAGATTGTGGATTTATAGGAGGAGGGTAATCGAACAGTAATGGCGGCAGGGAATTCGAATTGGAATTTTTTGAAGGGAGCGGGGCGAAAACATTTGAATTTTGTTAAAACAATTTTTTCTTTGAGAAAGGATGAAAGCTTGCGGGAGACTGAACTGCGGGTTTGGGGAACTTTGGCGCCATTTGTTTGTTCGCGGCAAGACGTCTGGTTTAGGTTTCACTTAACCAGTTAACCGAGTATTAATAGCACAATTACATAACAGCCACTAAACTTTGATGTCGGTATACAATTGGTCAATCTTTTATTCATCAAATTATTGAACTAGCTAATTGTAGTACTCAAATTATTCATATTGTTCGGGTGATTCGTGATGGTGTCTACATTAGACTCTTGCTCATCGACATATTAAGTTAGTATGACTTTTAAATTACAGTTTTGCTTATTATATACAAAAGGTGCTTCAACCACCCTCTTGTTGCATTAATTAAAGATTGTCGGCAATCTCATTCAACATTCGTGGTAGTGCTCAATTCGCATATCCATTGTGAAGCGAACATCTAACTGATACATTTGAATGAATTACAATTTATTAACCAAAAATAGTCGTCATAATGTCACAATTTTTTTTTTATCTATAAACTTATCCAAGCAATCTGTTATTTCATTAAAAAATTAACTGCTTAATAGTTGACCACTACACCCTTTAATGACATATTGGATCATGTTATGGAGCAATGTTGAATAACCGGTCTGGTTCGAATCACTTACGAGCTGTAAAATAAGGTTTAAAAAGAACTGAAGTGAATGGAGGATTTTATTTTAGGGACGAGTTTGTTAAAAATAGAATCTGGTGGCCGATCTAGTAATTACCAAAAAGTATATTGGCTGGATATATAATTGACTCGAAGAAGGCGAGATTGGTGAAATCAATGGCTGGTATTTGGGATGAGAGAGAGAGAAAGTGAAGGCTTGCGAGGGAAGCCAAATTTTGATTGGGCGGGAGAATTTGCTTGAAGGCGTTAGCGCCAAATTGATTAATTTTCGGGACCAAGGTGGGGGAAGTGTTTGTGCCTTGTGGAATGTGGTGGCTCGCTGGAGACATACTCGTGGGCTGCACGAGAATGCAACGTGCTTTCTTTGTCTCGGTTGCCTTCACTTCACGTGGGCCGTTTGGCCCGTTTTTCTGGGCCTAGTTTCATGGGCCCTTGTTTAGTTTATGTCCAACAAACTCGTACCCGACCACCTCCCAAAGACCCAAACGCAATCTCCGGGTTAATTGCATGATTGGTCACTATGATTACAAAAAACATTCATGTTTGGTCATTCAAAATATTTAAATCCATTAATGGTCACTAAAATTAGTAAAACCGTCCAAGTTTGGTCACTCTCCGTTAGTCTCCGTCAGTCTCCGTTAACCAAGACCGTTATGTGCTGACAAGGCAGACAGAATCGCCTAGTCAGTCTAATTTAACCCAAAAATAGTGAAATTCGACCCGCCATGTCATTTTTTCCATCCCAACCCAACCAAATCCTTGAACCAAACCGACCCACCCATCCATGAACCAACCACTCAAACAAAATAAGGGTTTATCCCTTTTTCCTTTACAGATCTGAACTCTAGTTCTTCATTTTTCTTGCATTCCCTTCGACAACCAGGTCTGAATGGTGCTTGAATCGGTCGGATTTCCTCAAGTTGGACAGAACCGACCAGCCAAGCGTATAGAACATCATAATCAAAGATGTAGTCGGTCCGACGGCAGACCGGAGGGTGGAGGAGGCGAAGAGGTCGAGGCGGGAGTAAGGGGACGCGACGGAGAAGGGCGGTGCGGGGATGCCGGTGAATTCCTGTATCCTTGAAGCCCGGGCTAAACACCACTTCTCTTTTTTCTATTCGCCATCACTGACAGCCTCTCTACCTCTGTATATCCACCCAAATACCCAATTAATCAAATTTCTTATTTCTCCCAGGTGGAATAGATGAAAACCAGTTGTGAAGGAGAGACTCATAGATGAAGGAAGAAGTCATTGTGATGAAATTGACCACCACCTCCAGAATAGGGTAACTGCCTTTCAATTTCTTCTCCCACCCGTCGCTTGAGATCCTCTCCCCAACACTATTCTTCTCCCTCCGACTCCAGCCGCCTAGTCCCTCTTCTTACCCCTCCATTATCGAAAAGAAGCAGAGGATCCAGCGAGCCAATCATCTTCCTCATTCAGATCCCTTGGCTGCTTCATCTTCTCAGGCGAGCCAATCATCTACCCCAATCAGATCTGTAAAGTATAGACTGATCGCGTTGGCCGCTTCATCTACTCATGTCTCTTGGGCTCGATTTGGTTCCAATTGAAAGAGGAGATTTTTTAGAACTGGGTTTAAAAGCAGCGGAGGAAGAAGAATAGAGATTGAGGATGCGGCGGAGATAGAGGAAGAGGCAAAGATGGATTGTTGATGGCGGGTCAATAAGTTAGGTTAGGGTTTGAGTCATTGGTTGGGCTGAATTACCTGATGTGGCAGATAATATTTTTTAATTTTTGGGGTTAAATTTGGTGACTAGACTTTTCTGTTAGCCACGTCATCAAAAAGTTGACGTTATTAACGGAGACTGACGGAGACTAACGGAGAGTGACCAAACTTGGACGGTTTTACTAATTTTAGTGACTACAAATGGATTTAAATATTTCAAGTGACCAAACTTGAACGTTTTTTGTAATCACAGTGACCACCCATGCAATTAACCCCGCAATCTCCACTCCCCTTTAATCATTGTCCGAGTGAGCTTAAGCTTGATGGGTAAGAATAACTAAAAACTAAAAAAACTGTAATAAATGAAGGAGGAAGCTTCCTTCAATTCATTCTATGGTAGGAAAATCAAAGTTGACGATCTTATTACCATTAAGGTAAATATTTGTTTCCTTCCAACGCACACAGAGAAGGAAAAGCCCCCAAGAAATTAGCCCCTTCATTAATGGCGGCCATTAGTGAAATGAAATCCCACTCCTGGATTTTTCCTTATTAAGAACCGAAAAAAACTAATTAGCAGACTGCTCATTTTCCATAAAAGCTCATTCTTACCACGAGAACTTGCAAGAACTTCCATTGTTGGAGTGCTCTGTTTCTGCTCCAAAAGGTAAGAGCTTGAGACCTTCCCTTTGGCGAATTCGTTTCTTACCCAATTTTGAAAACAATTCCTGTTTCTGATGCAGAAGAATCAATCCATAATGGGGGCCAAAAGGGTGAAGATTGAGCTGATAAAGAACGAGAGGAGCCGGCTGCTGACTTACAAGAAAAGGAAGGCGAGTCTGCTGAAGAAGATCAACGAGTTCTGCATACTCTGCGACGTCAAGGCTTGCCTTATCATCTTCTCCGGCAACAACGGTGCCAAAGGCGGGGAGGAGCTCGAAACATGGGCCCCGGAGTCCTGTACCGTGGAGGACCTTATCCAGCAGTACAGAAGCTCCGACAAGCCCATGAAGAACTTCACCGTCACCGATTACTTCAGAGAGAAGAAGAAAAGGCTGGATGTCGAGCTGTCGAAGGTGAGGAAGCAGATTTATAAGTTGAAGTTCCCGAGCTGGGACGAAAGGCTGGACAATTTCTCTGTGGATCAGCTCGGAGTTGTTCTCGGTCAGCTCGATTCGAAGCTGAAGCTTGCCGACGAGAGGATCACGGCCTTGACAGCCGCCGAACGGGCTACTGCAGGCCTGGTTCCTCCGGTGCCGTTTAATTTCCCTAATCCTGTGACTCAGGATGGGGGGTCGGTAACCGAGAGGGAGATCGATAAAGGGCACGCGTCAAAATCGTTAATTTGCTCCGATTTCAACTCCCCTCCGCTTCCATCATTGTCGCAGTGGCAGAGCTCGGCTGTGGCTAATGGCTACTCGGACAACCTGTACTCAACCAATTCTTCGTTCTACATTCCTGACAGGTTCAATTACTTTGCTCCTGGAGTCGGAGAATTCCCTCCGTACAACAATCCCCAATTGATGCCAGAATTAAGTCCGGACAAAGGAATGAACTTTGGGATGATGCAGCGGTGTCAACAGAGAAATAATGTCTCTGTTATGAAGCAGCCGTCGCCCATGCCAATGTGGCAGGAGCCTGTGATGAACAGTAGTAATCATCAGGTGATGCTGATGCCTGTGAACGGTGGGAGTCAGTGGGTTTTCGACTCTGCTGGGATGTTGGGAGGGAATTCTGATGGAGGAGGAGGGATGGATATGGGGTATATATCTTCTTCAGGTTTTCAGCAGATGCAGCATCAGTTTTCGTCTCCTGCAATGGCTGCACAAGCAGGGTATTCTTCTCATCCCATGATGTTTCTGAACCAGTTGGACGAGAATAATATTGGTGGGTTTGAATTTGACAGGGGACACCATAATCTGTAGATGGTTATTAGGTATTAGTCTTATATATAGTTGTTCAAGTTGGTTGTGTTTTCTTCCGTTAGTTGTTAGTTTCAGACTAGGTTTCACTGTTACTCTGTTAGTTCTATGGGAGACCACCTTGTTCTTTCTACATAATGTTTTGCTATTGACCGACAGAGTTAGTTAGATGACAGTTTATCCGCTTTGGATCATACTTTATCTACGAATTGTTTTTTATTATAAATATCTATGAATTGTTTTGGATATACACTCGTATAATGACCAGAACTCCAGAAGCTATATATATAAATCAACAGAAACTATATTATTCTTTATGCTATACAATTGTGTATACTGTCCTACAATAGCAGTACTCTCACTCTCATCTTAATCCTTCGCCCCTCTCATGCAACTGCTACAGTATAGTGAGCGGAGACCTACAAACAATCAACTAAAACAGGTAAATTCAAGACCATAGTTGAACGGGTAAATGTAAGATGCATCTCGGTTGAAATATCGTAGGAAGCTTACCTGTACATGTTAATTTGGGATCCAGTGCTCTTCGTGTCTAAGCTATACTTTCTTTACAATGTTCGCCCCATTCGCACGATTCAGAAGCTTTTTATACTCCTGGCTTCTTGACCATTCATCGATCTCGCGAGCACGTAAAACAGGCAGTGGATGTGATAGTTGCCTCGTCTGGGCATTTCTGATGGGAAAAGCAGTAGCAGCTAATCAGACAGGGACGGAGAAACTGATGGGAAAAGCAGTAACAGCTAACCTATGACAAGTCTGCTTACCTTATGTACCATCCCATTGGGCTGGATGATGCTCGGTCATAAGATCGAGCTTGTTCCAAAAAGGCGTCAACATTGAGTTGATCAGCGAGCGATGGGCTTCCCCCGCATAGTTTCATCAGCAGTGAGATGACAACCTCTTGTCGGAAATCAAAAGTAAGATAAACGGCCGAAAGGAGATGACAATGAAGCTTGATAAGCAATAAATTATTGGTTTTATATTTTTAGTATTTGCAGACCTTGGGGTCTTGAGCAACAAGAAGCGCTGCACGATCACATGTCAGCTCAGCTGAACGAATCCAACGGAACAACTGTTCTTCTAAGCTTTGAGCTATCATGCCACCAATTCCTATGGAATACATAGGGTCAGCTCAAACTCTATCAAATGCATCAAAAAATGAACACAAGTCCTCCATTGTGATGCCCTATTTGGAAGGCGAGGTTTTAAAGTAGGAAGTTGTCAAATTTTATGTTGTGGTGTACTTCTAACTAAGACTTGACAACATTTATACTAATGAGATATGGAACTAGCTCACAAAACAACAATCAGGACTCATAAGACCTACCAGGTACAGTATAAGCTCCAAGCATGAGGATATTTGCGAATGTGAGCCACACGCCATGGTCGCACTTCAGATGTCCCAACTCATGAGCCAAAACAGCCTATCACAATTGAATCGCCCAGAAACAGTTAACATCGGGTGTATTCAGTAAGACTGACAGTACCAAGAATGAAGTTAGGACTCAATAAGAACAGTTTGAAATAGACACGGTTCAAAGACCTGCAACTCTTTTCTTGTTAGGAGCTCCACTAGGCTAGTGTGCACAACAACAAATGGCCTTTTCCCACTTATAGCTAGAGTATAGGCGTTTGGTACGGGGCTCTGCCGGACATAAAGATCAGGAGGAGACTTGATGTTTAGTATCGATGCAGCCTCCGTCATCAGCAGATAAAGTTCTGGAAGCTGAGAAGCAGACATAATACTCGCTCAAATTAGCTGGTTACACCGTAACAGTCAATCATCATAACCCAAAACAAACTACACTGCTGCTACCATATGTTCATTAACCAGTCTCTCTAAACATGCACTAATGAGCACAATAAACCCTATCATATATCATCGATCCCACACTCTTTCAGAGCAACGAAGTTGTTCTTAATGATTTCACACCATGATCTTGAGGAGTAACAATCAAACTACCTGGTTTTCTGAGACGAGAACTGAAGTTCCAATATTCTCGAGAAGCATAATTTGCTCGGATAAGCTTCCTGCAAGTGTGACCAAAACATGGCATCCTCCACCGTTCAATTATGCAGCAGAAAATGGAAACTCAAGCAATCAGTAACAGTAAGAATCATGAGGAAGAAATTGAATCACCTAATAAGGCCTTGCCGATTTCATTCAATCCTGGAATCGCTCTCAACAACAACGTGTTCTGCAAACAAAACAACAAGCAAAATCCTACAGAACTCCGTAATTGAAAACCAGAAGCTCATTGAATCAGAGGTTTGATTACAGTCATCAGTCATCACCTGTTTATCGAGAGGATGCCTGAAATCGTCGGCGTCGAGGTCGCGAAACACGTTGGAGGAGGAAGGAGCCGCCGCTCTACAAACAGGAGGAACCCTAGCGACGCTCTGACTTCCGATCGGTGCCTTCTTCTTCTCCAACGCAGCTCCACCGGAGACGTAACCGCCGAATTTTGACCAATCGGAGACTCCGTAGAAGAAACCGATAGGATAAGGAGGCGGCGAAGAGGCCGATCCTATCCGAGGGAAGCATGATGAATAAGGAAGAAGAGCGGCCATCGGAGCAGCAAAAAGTTAATTGAATTCTCGGAATTGTCGAGTAATTACTGCGACAGTTGCGATAACTGGCCCAGCTTTTTCTTTCGCGGTAATGGGATTTTTTTTATGGCTTGCTGTGGCGTCCACAGGCCACAGCCGAACCGGCCGTGTGGTAATTCTGTGGCGCCATTTCGTTTTCTGTTGACTTGTTTGGCGCGCGGTGGCAACCGGATTATCGACGTGCACGAATGGGAAGCGCCAGTTTACACACTGTAGGCCCCAGCCTGGACAAAGATGATCGGTAGATTACTTCTATGATGTGTAAACTTTGAGATACCGACGCGACGAGTCCGTCGCTAAAAATTTCAATAGCCTCAGGGGTCGTTTGGAAGTTGCGATAGTTTTGTTGAGATTGTCATTATGCATGTATTGTTTACACTACATCTTTTTTTTGTTTTTTTAGCAGAAACAATACATGGATTGTTTCTGTGATGTGACAGAAACTATCACTCATTTTGAGTGATTGTTATATCTCAACTTTTCATTGTGATTGTTGAGATAGTTGAGTTGAGATTGTTTTGTCTCGGCTTTTAGCTGATGCGACATACACAATCACACATACCAAACGTTGTATTCTACAATGCATCAAATTCGACAATACATGTATAATATTATACATGCATTCTCAACAATACATCTATTTAACAATCGCAACTTCCAAACGACCCCTCAGTGATTGAAGTTTGAAATAGTCCGCATAACAGAGATCCAAATCTACCAATATTTATAATAAAAACATGCATGAAACACACAAGAATTAAATTGCATAGTTTTTTTCGTGGGATAAAATTGCATAGTTGAAGAACCATAAATCTATAATTTTGTTTTTAATCAATGCATTTGTCATGGCAGCATATTTTATCGGCACCAAATTGAAAATACCATATATGGATAAGAGCACAACTACATACTAGATAAGAGCATGAAGCAAAACTGATGTACGAATAAATAACGAAAAAAATCCAATAACAAGTTGACCAAGAAAGAAAATGATAGTAGCTAAAGTTAATTCAAATACAATTTGCTGGTTAACAACAACCACAATAGCAGAATGCGACAGATGTTTACACTAGAGAACCATGTACAGTAACAATAGAGGATAACAACCCTACAGAGATAGTTCCATTTGAAGTATAGAGAATCTAGTCTACATATATCTAAATCTTACAACTATTGGAACCTAATCCACATTCATTTCTACACTAACCATGTCCAATCTGTACTCATTCTTGGAGCGCATTAACCTAGAACGAACACATTCGAATCCCAAATGGAATAAAGACTGTATTATGTAACCTAACAGCTAAAACACCCAATCAATTTCTCCACTCAACTCAGTCATCAATTAAAACAAGCTTCTGCTGTCAATCTAAATATTAACGTACTCCATTCAGCTGAAAAGGTTGCATTACAGAGAAACAGTTGCCAGACAACTACCAGACTATTCAATGGAAAGGTTAACACTAACAAGATTGTTAACCTTGAAATGCTTAGATGTTACTTGGATACATGAAGACCCTGACCTTATCGCTCAGTAAAGTTCAACAAGCATACACTTAGTGTCATGAATGAAAAACCAGAACACATACGGCAAAGGGAAGCAGATAATCAGGCAGCTGACCATGGACTTGGGAGGCAGGTTGGACTTGAACTTAGCTCGGACAACTCCACTGTTACCGTGAGGCCTAGAGACTTTGCCCCAAATGCAACGGTAGTGGCTCACATTGGTCTTGACCTTAGTCTTGTAGACATACGCCAAGCGCTTGCCCTGATACAAGCTCACCTCTTTCTTGGTGTTCACTCCCTCAATCTGAATCAGAGACGTGCTCACGTATGGGTTCGACTTCGACCTGGAATTACCCCCAACAACATTTCATCCATTAGTACAGCAAATCATAAAGACTCCTTCTTGACTTCAAAGTCGCGATTGTAATCTTTCTCATAGGGAAAACTCTTTTTGGCTACAAGTTGGGTCGTGAAAGCAGCATTTTTGTGTCGGAGGATTTGTTACCGTGATATGACTTGGCTAAAGAACCTCATAGCTGTAACTTGTCTAAAAACTCTTTTCTTGCTACTAAACATTGCAAACATGCACGAATGAATTCCAAATTGATATCCAATCAATTTATGACGAGTACAACGCCTGGAATATCATAAAGAACGGGTAAATGACACATTTGGTCACTGAGATTACTAAATCGTGTCATATTTGGTCACTATAAAAATTTAATATCAATTTTGATCACTCGAATTATTGACACAGGTCACATTTGGTCACTCTTCTGTAGCCTCTGTCCAACTCCGGTCACTCGAATTATTGAAAAATGTCACATTTAGTCACTCGGATTACTGAAACATGTCACATTTAGTCACTCTCCCAAAAGTTTCCGTCGAACTACATTAATGGAGTTGGACGGAGACTGACGGGAGAGTGACTAAATTTGACCAGTTTCGGTAATTCGAGTGACCAAAATTGATATTAATTTTTTCTAGTGACTATACATGACACAATTTAGTAATCTCAGTGACCAAATGTGTCATTTACCCCATAAAGAACACAAAGCAAGAATAAAATACCTAATAGCAACCTTCATAGTAACCTAACTCGAGGTAAAATTCATAATGTATATAGGAACGCATATTAGCATAAAAAAAGCTTGTAACGTGGCCTAGACAAGGTAATTCGTGAAAGGAAGAAACCTTTCCTTTCTTCCCAACCAACCATAAATCTTCTTCCAATTTACAAAATACCCAATCTACTAATACTCTTTCCCCATCCTACTCCAAAAAATTTCATCACACTTTTTACATTGCGTGCTCTCTGCTGTGTGCTCAATCTACTTAGAAAATGATAAGGAGTGGGAAACCAAAAATTAAAACATATACCCTCCAAAGAACAAGAAAAAGGTAAGGAATACACACAAACTGCGTACAAGACAAAGAATAGGTGCTACTCACTCTCTCAACTCCTCCTCCCTACAGACCAAACCATTTTAGCGCCTTGCCTATCTGTGTTCAAGGGTTGATGTTGCACTCCCTCAAATACGGGTGCTCGTAGTCCACATACTTGGCCCAATACCCCCTGTACTTGGGCAATCCTATCTCCAGCCATGGCTTCATGTTACCATTGTAGTGTATCACTGCTGCCCTCTCTATCTCCTTCTGGTTCACGCTTGGGTTGTACCCCAGCCCCAGCACATGCCATGATCGCTCCAATGAGTAGGTTTGTTTCCAGAACGTAATCAAACCTGGCGGCAGTGTTCCCAACTTCCACAACGTTCTGTCGTGATTCTGCACATCCATTCCCCACATACCAATAAATCAATACAATATCAATACAAGTCGATTGATGATGGAAAATAGACTAGTGCTAGTTAAGTTTGTCACTCACCAGCTTCTGCCACTTGTGATACACTTCAGTGATGTTTTGCCTTCTCCACTGATCCAAATCAAAGATATTCATCCCGTATGCCCATCCACAGGCATGCGGATCAAAAGTCTTAGAGATCAGAGGATTGGAGAAGTTGAGATACCGATCAAAACGATGGAAGCTCTCTCCACAAGTCTCCACTGCACCATTCACATTACCTTTCAAATCAAGGAACCAAAGGGCAGCGAGATCCTTCTGTACTACTATATCATCATCAACAAACAGCACCTTGTTTAACTTTGGGAATATCTCTGGCAGGTAAAACCGGAGATGGTTCAAAATGGACAAGTACTTTGGATTCCGATACTTCAAATTTGAATCCGAACTAGTACGATGTGACCTAAAGTAGTAATCTATCATAGATGGAGATCCCAACTGCTTCAGAACAGGACTGTAACTTGCATTTAACCATGTGAACTCCTCGATATTCTGAACTTGAACAGTTGCCTTGCCGGGTGGATTCACTAGAAACCACATCCTCATTGCTGCATAATTGAGCCTATCCGTAACAATGTGGAAAACATGCTTTGAAGGCTCCTGCAAACAAACCAAACAAATCTAATCAGGATCTACCATTCATGCTTGTACTAATCTTGCTAGCATTGTAATTATTATCTGCAAGATAAACTATATTTCACCTTAGCATGTGTAATAGTAGAGTTCAGCACAACTGCAGCTGCTAAAACATTATCTGAGAATAAAGCATAATGATATAGCAGAGGATCTTCCAATTTCTCCAGATTTGGAAACTGTTGCTGAGAAGTATTCAACAAATAATACTCGGTTGTCAGGCGCAAAGGAAGACAGTGAAGACCCTTGGGGAGGGTTTTGGCAGTTAATTGAGTCAAGAACATGGTCTGCTTTTTATGCACACGGAGCTGCTCCTCCGTGGAATGCAGCATAGCACGAAGCTTTTTCACCCACATAGCACAGTCATCTTGTATCTGCTTGCCTTTTGTTAGGGACTGTTCCATTGCCCTCAACTTCTCATTGGCACTGCATACAGATCAACTTTAATCAATAAGACAACACTAATAGTTGATTGTATATTTCATTATAGTTCTATGAAGAACATCAAACCAATTTAATGGAAATCAGAGATTACAGTGATCGCATACTAGATTCAGGAAAGTAAGCCTTACTTCTTGGGCAGCTCTGAGTCTCTAGTTGCTTCGCCAAGGACACGTGCAACTTCCTTGATCCGCAATCTGAGCTCTCTCGTATAGTGTTGATTATTCTTTGTTGCAGGAAGTGACAGGTATACCTTTGCCCTAATCAGCTGGTCTCTTAGTTGACGTACTCGAATATCTGACATAGCATTTTGATCTGTCTGTTTACCCACTTTAGCTTTCGGGTGATCCTTTCCGCTAGCTTTGTAGGGCTTCGCACCTGGTTTTCGCTCAAACTAGCCCAAAAAATATCACAAAGAAAATAAGTAATTCCACTGGTTAAACTCAAAACAGTATCTTCAACATAAAGAATCATTATTGCTACATAAAAGAAGTGGAGAGACATTTTTCTGCTCTGCACTAAATCATGACTGTATGTGATACCAAATACTCGATCGACAAAGAAGGCCATATCAGAAGCGTTCTCAAATTCCTTTTCCAGTGGGAATGATTTCAGTTTCTATTGCAAGGAAATGAATAACAGGATATATTGGAAGATCAATTCAAAACTCGAACTAGTGCTACCACGAAAGCCAATGGAGGAATATTCTACATACATTATTCAACTCCAAGTAACTGGGGGTTAAGTTTCCTTTGAGATTGTGATCACCATATTGGGAGTCGGCAAAATAATAGACAAAATTACCAACTACCAGGTGGGAAAGCTCTCACATCAGCCATCGCAATCGGACAATAAACTAAACACTACCACAACAAAACACAACGAAAGAGGAGTGATCTCTTCAAGCGAAGGCATGAGAAGCTTCAAATGGCATACCGGATCTTGAGATGCAAGTTGGGTAACAATGTTGGAAGCCAAGGATTTTGGGTCCATGGAGTTGGAGGCAGCATCCGTGCCATCACTCCTCGATTCCTGCTGAGCACTGACACTATCAGTGACCCGTCTGATGACAGCATCCGTTTGAGATTGCACTCGTTCCTCAGTCGCCGACAAAACTCTAGATTTGTGCTCTCTCACAGCTTGAGATTGCGAATCTAAAACAAATGAGCCAAAACAAAGGGATTAATTTCAAAATTGGCCAACGAAACCACACTAGTGGAACGAGCTTGCAAGACGATGAATCACCTGCTGCTGCTGCAATTGAATCTTGAATAATCCCATCATCAGAAGACGCCACCACCTCTTCTTGGGTGGAGTTGGTGGTGTAAACAACCCCAATCGGCTCCTTGAAGACAGTGGACGATTCCTATAAAGCCAATCAATGGCGGAAACTGAGGATATGTGATGGCCATACAAAGGCGAAAGGATTTAAGCCGGAAATACGAATCAATTGTACCTGAGGCAACACGTTGAGACGGCCGGAATCAGCAGGAACAGTCTGGAAAAAAAGGAGCAGCAGAAGATAAGGAACCTCTTCGTCGTCCTATCGATCATTCAATTCAACGAAAGCCGAAGAGAGAAAGAGAATGAAACTTACGAAGGAAGTGACGTCTTCAAAGAAATCGATTCGAGCTGCAGAGAAAAGGAAGACACAAAGAATGAGCGAAGGGGAAAAATCGATCGAAGAAAGAAGAGTGAAAGTGAGAAAGGAAACTGACAGGAAGAGGGAGCGAAGGCGGCGAATCTGTCGGTGTAAAGAGCAATGGGAGCAATCACAGTGATGAAGAGCATCCCTATCACCACGTTCCTCAGATTCATCTTCTTTCTTCTTCCGCCTTCACCCCCGCGATCTCTTTTTACTTTTTCTCCGGCTTTACGAATTCTCCAAATTGAAAACAGAACTCCACTGACGAAGAAGAAATCAAAACCAAACCGGACTCAAACCGAGATTCGTTCGTCTGCTACCGTCGGTGCTCCGTTCCAGGCCAACAACAGTCCCTACCACGCCATAACAGAAACCGTACACAGAGAGCGGCCGCCGCCGTTCGAAGAGAGAGAGAGAGAGAGAGAGCGGGCGAGAGAGATAGGTGGAGCTGCGATGCCAATCCGCGTCTGATTTATCTTTTTCTTTATTGTTTTAATAAAACTAAAAGGAAACTAAAGAGAGAAGAAATCGGACATCTAAATTCTAAAGGCTACTCGCTTTGCTTTGCAAAGGGGAAGAAAAGATACAGCGATGCATAATAATGAAGGAAGCAGAGAAATGGTGCCGGATGGAGGGTAGATGACGACGAACGGGAAATAATTTGAGTGACGGAGAAGAAATGTGAGACGAAGAAAGACAAAAAGGGAAAGAGGAAGAGAATTTAATTATGGAAGGGTTAGACAGCAAAGCAGAGCTGTACGACTATTTTTTTTTTTTTTACAAAGAAACTAATTTGGAGTTTGGAGGTTACTGGTTAGTTAATAGTTACTGAGTTAGCATCCCTCAAGCGCCGTGGGAAAATCACTTGCACCTTCTCCCTGAATTGGCAGGCCCGCGCCAGAGGACCAATCAGGTTTCGGCACCTGTAGTGGGGGAAACCTCGTCTTCTCTATTCTTCTAGCCGGAGCTCTTCTGCAGATTTCTCCTGCTCCTCCTTCGGCGTCGTACGGACTCAATTTCTTCTTCTCAATCCGTTTTCTCTGGCCCCCACTTTCCTCATCATCGTCGTCGTCAAGAGCTTCAGAAAGCCTCCGACTGTTCTTCCCAGAATCGCCTTCTTCTGCTGTGAAATGTGAGAGCTAGGGTTTCCAGACTCTCCCGCAGCTCGGAACTCCACGAAACTGATTGAAATCAATTTCCTCGATTCGAGGGTTCGACTGACTAGTGTTTGCCTCGGTTCCATTTTGTCACAGGAGGAAGTCGGTGAATCGACCTCCGACGCCAGACGCGGTGGAGGAGCAGGAAGAGAAGGAGCCTTCGCTTCAGGAAGTAATCAACGTTAAGGTTCGGCTGAGTAATCGATTTCGGAAACTCTCGTCGGTTTTCGGGGATACGAACTGTCGGCAATTTGTGGATTGAATTTTTGTATTGATTTAACAGTTGGTCGAGAGTGGAGAGAAAGAGCGGTTGATGGAGCTTCTGAGGGAGAGGCTGATCGAGTGTGGATGGAAAGACGAGATGAAAGCTCTCTGCAGGTAAATTTTCTTTCGCTTGGTTAGAAGTTAGAACGAGGATACGAGAAGAACACATAGCTTGCGCATTTGATCCGCTGCTTTACCAATGCCGATTGCTTTTGCCTCACCGAAGTATTTCAGTGGTCATGTATGCTCTCATTTGAATGAAATCATCCCATTGATTATTGATTATGAATGAGTAGATGGGATGCTTTCCACCATATTTCAGCCTTTGCTGTGTAGAGTTATGAATTGGGTGTTCCATTTATGGCTCGACAGCTTCAGGTGTGCACTATGCAATCACTGAAACTTCACCATCGTCCAACCTGTGCGAGCTTATAGCCCTTGAATGCTCAGTTATTGATTGAACGTCTGTGCCTTGAAAGAGTCTAGTTTATATATCATTTGCTAAAGAGAATGGGGATGAGCGAAGAGTACTCCTGCAAGCATATGTTTTGAACGTGATGTTGTGAGGAATTCAGGATGTTATGATCAAAGTTATGCTTGCATCTTTTGAGCTTTTGTCAAACTTCTTCTGAGTGTTTGACAAGCTTGTTAACTAGCCCCTCTTTTCTCAAGTCAAAGTTGCAGACTTCACTGCAAATGTCCACACATTTTGGAAATATATTGGTAGTTTTGCTTCATTTCAGGGCTTTCATAAAGAAGAAAGGCAGGAGTAACGTGACTGTGGATGATCTTGTACATGTGATTACACCTAAAGGCAGAGGTATATGATATCTTTTACACTCTCACTGCTTCTAGTTGCAAATCCTATTTCGCTCTAAAAGCTAGAGAACAGTCCCATCAAACTGGTTGAAATTTCTCAGAGCCCTAAACCATTCCTGTTTTGTGTCTGTTATGCAGCCTCGATTCCTGATTCGGTTAAGGCCGAGCTGTTGCAAAGAATTCGTGCTTTTCTAGTGCAAGCCTCGGTTTAGTTTGTCCCTTGCCCTACCTTGTTTAGCTAGAGTTGTGGATTGCCTGCATGGAACCTTCAAACCAAGTATAGTGCGAAAGAGAAATTGTTCCAGATGTTGACAGTCTACTTGGAAGGAACCAAGCGGGCTGCTGCTGCTGCAGTCTGTCTGCTGCAATCCACCCAAATGCTGCAAATCTTGAACAAAATGCTCAGAAATATTAGATGTTACTTACAAAATGTGTAATGTATCATAATACAATATACTTGTGTGCTTTCTGGAGCGAATTTTAGCAGATTGCTTATGTAATGTTTCCGAAATTTGTGGTATGAAATTGGATCGAGCTGGCTCTTTGCGTGTATTTCAAATCAATCAACATGGTATACCTTTTGACTCCTTGTAATCACAATATCACATGATGAGTTGTTCTTGTTCCCAATCTCATAATAGGCGCAACAATCATCGGCCAAAAGAATCCAATCCTCACATTGATTTGTTGGGCCCTTTGTCAACCTTCCACCCATCTTACTTTGAAACAAAACTCCCGCCCATTTGAATTAACGGATGGAACACTTCTAGCAAAAACTAGTCAGTATTGATGCAAACATTATGGCCCTCTTTAGTATAGTTTTATTATTGTGGTTGTACCAAGATTGTAACGATATAGAAGTATCGAGGGGCAGTTGGGTACCTCAATACCTATATCTGATCCGTACTAAGTGCATGTCAGGTCAGGTCAGGTAATATTCGCGACGGATCGATCCATCCTAATGTATTATTTGAAAAAATGTCTATATTTAACTTTTTTACAAAACAATGAGGCATATAGTAGAATGAACAATTGGATCTGGAGATGAGACATACAGGTAGATATTGATGAAAATCATAATAGAACAGGTCGAGAACGAAACAGGATGTACAGGGCAGGTTGGAAGCAATACACATACCTCACCCCACACTACTACGAGTAGGGTAATACCCAACCCAAACAGATCGGAGTAGGTCGGCTCTCGCAGATCATATCAAAATTGTCATAGAAGAAACACAACAGTATAAAAACAAACACAAAAAATATTTTTGGTCACGGATAAATTTTGGCCTTTGTAACCTGTCCATTCAAGTCAAATTGGCTTTTACGTTTAATAGCATACTCTTCACCAAAATGAATGTAAATTTGATCAGACAATTGATTGATTTCTTCTATATTGGGAGATCTGATTACCTGTACAGGAACTAATGAATACAAGTGATTTGGGACACAGCCTAGGCATTACCTTCTCAATCACAACTCACAAGTGGTATTTAAGAAGTGCAATTTAAAATTCTAAAAAGAATCAAGCACATGGACACTACCATACACTGAAAAACCATCTTTTATAGCTCTTTCTTATAAGTTTGGATTCAGAAACCAAACATGCATAGAAAAAGGAAGGGACTTCCCCCACTTGCGAGGAGATTCAGTCACCATTACATAATTTTATGACTCATTCGTTTTACATCTTGCAAATCCTCTATTTATAGAGAATATATATAGATAGATACTACACCTACTATTATAGCAGAGACCACACTACCGGCGCTGGAACCCAAAAGCACCTTCCGCCATTAGACAACACACACACACAAACCACAACAAACATTATTCTTCAGCTCAAGACCCTGCACGAATGCAAACACACATTTCCCTGTACTTTTCTCCACGAGATTCGTCGTCCAAAAGCTTGCACTCTTAACGGAAAATCTGCAGAAAAGTAGGAAGCTGGCATACCCTCCTCAACGCCACCAACACTTGCGTGCTAGCGTGAAGTAGTTTCGCTTATGCTGCTGACCCGGCTTGCTGGCAGAGGTCTAACAGGTCCAGGGTCTACAAACCAGGATTGAATTGCATTAGATGCTTGTTCTGAACGAAAGGATTGATGAAAAGATTCATAATGAGTGACAGTTTAGAAGCAGTACCTCAGGGACAGAGAGTTCAAGGCGAAACTTTGGACCGTCGTAGTGGTGCAATACTGGCCTAAATGAATCTTCTTCCAATGGTTTGCAGAACTTCCTAACACGGATCCTCACCTATATAGCCAGCAAATTACAGCAAGAAAATTTGTTTGAATCAGCCCAGAGTTATTCATACACATTACACAAAGGTACATAACATTGATGCTTTCTGATCTTACCTGAGCAGGAAACCTCGACTCTCCTTTGCACTTTTTATCTTCCCAAGCAGTTGGATCAATGTTTGAACCTCCGAAGGTTGTTGCCTACAGTTGTCCATAACATTAGTTAAGCATTGGCAACTGAATCTTAATGCAATTGTTGAACCATTAACTTATTCAAAAAAACACAAACTTACCTCAAAGATACCATGCAACTGGTGGGTCGTGTAGTTGTAGAGAAAGAGAGGCAAGCCAGGTGTTATTGCCCGAACAGAGTCCCTATACCTTGGAGGCAGACCTATCAAAACAAGTGTTTAATTAACACATCTTGACTCATAAAAGCAAACTCCATTACTCGTCCTAGTCTCCTAGATGAACAAGAGCATATAAATCACCTTCTTGGTCATACCATGGCAATTCAAGTTGCAGTATAGATAATTGCATGTTTTAGTGGTCTAGTAATCCACTTGTAAAGCTTGAAAAGGAAATCAGAAGGTATATCTACCAAGGAGAACACAACCTACCAAATAGCTGGCGCTTCAAGTCTTCCTGCATTGTGTCATTGTTACAGACGAATATGTATCCTCCAAGCACCTCATTCCTTGGGAGCGTTTCAGTTGCAGGCAGTGTCTTGAATCGTTTATCCACCGCACCATTTCCACCACTGTTGTCAATATTGCTGTTGTGATTAAGCTCCTTCTCACTGACCATGTTGACGCTATACTTGCTACCAGATAGATTCATATTCAGATTCCCAATGGTGCTCATATTGTTCTTCTGATACACCGCATTCATGTTGTAAACGCCGCTCCTCAAAGGGTTCTTGCTCACATTTTCCATCATCGCCTTGGAAGACTCCAAATTCAACATGCTAAAGTTGAGGCTCTCAAACTTATTCTCTTCCTGGAACCCAATCTTTTCCCTTGGTGGCCTCATTTCAGCCATGCCTTTTGATATGTCCAAGTTGTTCATGCGCTCACCCTTTAGCCTCGTTTGTTCGGCCAGTTTAGATGCAGCCACAAACCACTTATGATCCTCCGAGACTTTTGATTGCCCTCGAAGCTCGTCACCCAACTGCCAGAAGCTGTTGATGTTGTCCATCTTGCGAAGAAAATATCTGCAGGCAAGCCGAGAAGATAGATCCTCGTGAGCAACGGAATCTTGTTACAGCAGTAGTGTGAGAAGAACCCAAACAGCAGAAAAAAAGAGCATATAATCTAGAATACGAGTCAAAACACAAACCAAACTTAAGTATTATCGATCCTAAGGTTCCTCAATAAAAAGCCAGAGCTACCATCAAGATGACAAAGTAATGGATCTAGGAATACCTTCCTAACAATGCCAGACAATGAACCTAAATACAGGCAATCACAGTTATTTGGTCACGAATCAAAAAAGTCAACAACAGTTACTGATCTTGTAGAGGGAAGCAATCTCAAGAGGGGAAACAAAAACTGGATCCTTGTCAGAAATTTAACAAAGAAACCGCAACGCAAATACATTGGATCTAACCACAATTTTACCATCCAAGTCTTACCAAAAAAAAAATACATATAATACACTGTTAAAACAAATCCTAATTAAAGAACCACCAACCATGAGAACGATCAGTGAGTATTTGTAAAGCACCCAAAAAAAGGCCATCCCTTGTTCTCTCTGGGCAACTAAAAACAAGTTAGCATTCAACTTTGAAACCTGCCACCACTCTCCAACGAACATAAGAACTCAAACACCTTAGCTACATTCCAAAAACAAATCCCAACCCAGAAGTTAAAATTGCAGAAAACAAGAATCCGAGAACACCCCCCAAAGGCCCAAACCCCAAACAGGAGAACGTTCCCTTAAAAATCAACTCCGTAGAAAGCTGCTACTCCAAACAATCTACATTTCTCAATCAGGAAACCAATCAAACCCAATCGCCCAAAATCGAGCTACACAGTAAAACCCACATTGCGAATTCGAGAAAGAGGCAAGCAAACCCATCAGACGGCCAATAGTGAGGGTATGGGAACTGAAAGCCGAAGCTATGGTCAGTTATGAGAGACTGTAATGAGGAAAGGGGGATTTTCTTACCAGTTGGAGAAGTGCCCTAGATTCAGGGAGGGATCCAGAATGACGGAAGAGAAATGGCAGAGAGAAAGAGAAGGAGGTGGGAGAAGAAGTACCTTTTGGCTTTCTCTCTCTCTCTTTGAAACTGTGAATCCCGCAAGACACGACACAGTTAATTTAGTGGGATGAGAATGAGAAAGAAAGAGAGGGAAATGGTGGGAGGGAGAGAGAAGGCTAAGTAGAAGTGAGAGAAATCCGTGGAGGAATTTAATTTTGGTATTTATTGCTTCCGTCATCCCGGAACTGCCCCTCGAAAGTTCGAGTAATTACCGTCTTTGCCTAGTGCCTTGTTTTTGTCGTTTCCAATATTTTGTATTTGTATAATGGGTGGAATAGTTCGTATATTTGTAATATTGGGTGTATGTGAAATATGTTGATTAATTCTACAAAAAAAAAATGTTGACTAAATGATTTATATTTACATGTTTTGTGGTAAAATTAAAGGATATTGCCTGTTTGAATTATTGTTATTATTCGAATATGAGGTTCGATAACTTTACAGCGCAATGGAACATGAAGAATATGTAATTTGAATGTGTTTCTCATATAATTTTGACATCAATAGTTAAACTTGTAAGGGAAAGAAATCATTCTAAATATTATATATATATATATATTAAAGAATCAACAAGAATGTCTCAAAGTTTTGTCTTGTTTTCCTCCTATCACTTTCAAAAATTTTGAAAAATCATTATAACTCAACCATCACAATCTCATAATATGTTGCAATTGAAGTCATGGTAACAAATCAAGCTATTGGCACCCTTCCTTTCCTTTATATTTGTCATTATGAGACTACAACAAGGAAGAGGGTATATTCAAGTTAGATGATCGAGTCATCCTTTAGTGTCGTAGTGATCGAGCTTACGAGGGGGGACAAACTCATACACACCGTAGAAATAGACAAAATGTGATTTTTTTTTTTCTTTTGCTTTGATTTGATAGTGTTTTCAATTAGTTTAATGGGGTTACTCGTAATATCTTTCGATGAGTCCAAAAGTATTCATTACAAAAATACTATGGAAAATTAGAGTGAAATAACTCACATTTTGATAATGTGGTAATTGTGTGTTATTTCGCAAAATTGGAGGTTAAATTGTCTTGT